AACTTCCCCCACAGGTTTTGTTTTTTGCAGTTTAATGTGTTGAGTACTCACGCTAAAAAAGCGTGCCTTGCTATTTAAGTGTAAGGTGTGCTTTAACAAGCAATAAATGTGCTCACTAACCAATGTAACTGCACGAACTGTAAATACTTTATTCTAAAAATACACAACATGGGCCCTCAAATCACAGCTCATCTTTCCTTGCTTCCTCTGGCAGCAGGGACTTGTAAAACTTTAAAGCTCATTTACCACTTAAGAATATAAATCCTTTATTATTCATAGCCTGGTAACAGGTTCACTTTAATTAGTATGTCTTTTTTTTGGTAATTACCACAGCTCTTCCATCTGAGGGGATGTCTCAAAACATAACCTGTTGGGGAGTACCTGAGGGCTCAAGCGGAGAAATGCTGTTCTAACACAAAGCTTAGCTACAAGCAGTGCATAACTAGTTAAAAGCCATAAATACTGTTGGACGTCCACACAAATTGGCGTACTTTTTGTCACTAGCAAACCAGTTGTTATACTTTATCTATGTGAGTTGCAACAGGAACGTTTTCTACACAGTTCCAACATTTATGTGAAAAAAAAGTGAAAAAAGAGAAATCAATGCAAACCAGAATGCACATTGTTCAGGCACAGTGATGCAGTATTATATACAAAGGCAACGACGTAGTAAATATTGTGTGCCATCTGTAGAGAAAGCCCAGGTTTCGAGACCCATCACTTTCATATGTAAATATGAACAAAAGCAAAGGCGTTAGGTTAATATAGCCCATGTACAGTATAATCATAGTTCTTTTTTACTTATTTTTCAGCCCATATCATTCTTGCCACAAAAAAATGAGGTAACATACACTTACATCTTTTATTTGTGTATTTAAGCACAATACAATAAAGGACTATTGGGATCCAAATATCTAGTGAGGACATAACTTGGGTGCTGCTCATTTAGGGATCCATATTCCTTTAAAGCCAGAGACACAGTATTTAGCAGGCAGTGAAGAGACATTTGGGTTTATTTTACTGATGTACAGTATGTATGTATGTAAATAAATATTACATACATTTTCATTATGTAACTAGAATTGCAATGCTTGTTCATATTTGTACAATCTATTCAGATCAACAGGAAATGAAAGATGTCACAAAGTAACTGAAGCATGGCAGTGGTACAGACACTTCAAACATCTTTCTGCCCACACCTTAGAGTTTGCCTAATAAAGAAAAGATCGGTGAGCCAGAAACTAATATCAACTAATCAGAGTCTGTTTATTACAGTCAAGTCAGTAAAAAAATTGTTGATTGGTTGGTTGCTGTGGTTACTACACATTTTAACCGTCACTAGCAATTATGTTTGCTGATGGTGACTTTTTTTTTTCTGAATTCTGAATAAAAGTGTGAAATATACAGTATACATTTTACTTGCTGGAATGGTAAAAATTGTGCTTGCTATTCTTTGTTCACCAAAATGTTTTCCCCTTACATGTGGAGCCAGGGGAAAGGGATTCCCCAAGCATGGGAAAAGTCCCAACAGAATTCGGCTCCTGCTGAAGAGGCCCTTTATAAAAACTCATAAAGAGCCATGACTTAGTGATATCATCACGCTTCCTAAACGTTACGGTGGCAGGGAGTTTTGTGGTATGCACAGGCTGTATGTTGTTGCTAGTTATAGAACCTTATACAACCCCCAATTCCAAAAAAGTTGGGGCACTATGTAAAGTCTACATAAACATATAAACATATACAACATACATTTTAGTCACAATAGAACATTGAAAACATATCAAATGTTTAAACTGAGAAAATGTAAAAAAAATAAGTTACATTTTAAATTGATGCAGCAACACGTCTCAAAACAAGTTTAAACAGGTCAACGAAAGGTAGTAAAGTAAGTGGCGCTAACAAGGAAGAGCTGGAAGAACATTTTGCAACTAATTAAGTTAATTGGTAACAGATCAGTAACATGACTGGGTATCTTAGAGAGTCAGAGTCTCTCAGAAGTAAAGATGGGTAGAGGTTCACCAATCTGTAAAAATCTGCTTCTAAAAACTGTCAAACAATTTCAGAATAATGTTCCTTAATGTAAAATTGCAAAGAGTTTAAATATATCATCATCCTGTGACGCCACCGCCGTAGACCTTAATGGTAGGGACCCAGCCGCTTCTCGAGTCCGCCGCTGCGTTCCACGGTGGAACGCACGCTCGTCACTTCCGGGTTCGAAGGCCGGGTGCGTTCCACCTTGGAACGCGGAAGTGAGCCGATCTGTTCGGCGGCTCCTCCCCAAACAGTTGCAGCCCTACATAGACGCCCAGACGAGACAGCATGGCGTTCCACTATTGAGCCAGAACGCCTGCAGTCTCCTGGGACCCTTCAATGCCTCCAGCTTACTGCTGCCCGCTACGTCTTCCGGAACCGGACCCCCTAAGGACCCACAGCTCTCCACCTCCACTCTACCCTCAAAACCGCAAGTATCTGGTGTACTTGCACAACAATCAGTAGAGACTGTATAGGATACCAACTTATGCAATTAGGATTGTTACTTAATTGGAACCTGGATCACTGCTATACTATTGTGACCTTCTCCCACCTGCTACCCAGTATTTCCCTGTTACATAGGTGCTCAGGGGTAGGGCTTATGAAGTAATAACCCCACTCTAAACCGTACATTTTGTTTAAAATAAGGCTGTGATGCAAGAAACCCTAACTCTCTGTTAATAAGAGAGTGAAACCAGGGTTTCACTGACTGAGAAGCCTCCGCAGTTGCGATCCACACCCCTCCATCCACAACAGGCGTGACACATGCACAGTACATAATGACATCAAAAGATTCCAAGAATCTGGAGAAATCTGTGTGCAAGGGACAAGGCCGAAACACGATATTGGATGCCCGCAATGTTGAGGACCTCAGACGGCACTGTATTAATAACAGGCATGATTCTGTGATGGACATCACTGCATGGGCTCAGGAATACTTCCAAAATTCAATGTCTGTAAACAGTTCACCGTGCCAAAGATAATTTAAAATGGTCTGTCGCAAAGTGGAAAACTGTCCTGTGGTCAGACAAATCAAAATTTGACATTCTTGTTGGCAACCATGGGTGCCGTGTTCTCTGGACTAAAGAGGAGAGGGACCTTCTGGCTTGTTACGAAGCGCTCAGTTCAAAAGCCTGCATCTCTGATGGTATGGGGTGCATTGTTGTGTATGGAATGGGCAGCTTGCACATTTTGAAAGGCACCATCAATGCTGAAAGATAAATGCAGGTTTTAGAGCAGCATATGCTACCATCCAGATGATATCTTTTTCAGGAAAGGCCTTGCATATTTCAGCAGGACAATGCCAAAATCGCATACTGCATCTATGATGACAGCATGGCTTGGTAGTAGAAGAGTCCGAGTGCTTAACCTTCCTGCCTGCAGTCTAGACCTTTCACCAATTGAAAATATTTGGCGCATCTTGAAACAAAAAATGCGACAATATCAGCTTCTTTTGGGGGGTCCTAGGTGACATTAGGGGTCTTGGAGACCCCTGATGTCTCCATAAAGAGGACCTGTCACATATTTTGCTATCACATAGGTGGTTTTTATTAGCCTCGTATGTGATAGCAATCAAGTTTAGTAAAAAAAAAAAAAGGAAAAAAAGTTCCCCCCCCAAAAAAAATGTTAAGTAACACATAAAAAAGAATTTAAAAATGTTTTAAGTCCCCACCCATACATACACGAATGCAAACATGCGTCGGGGGCGCATACGTGCAAAAACGACGATTGTGCCCATTACGACGCAAATGTTACATATCGCCGCGAACGTCGCAGTGAGAGCAATAATTCTCGGGCCATCAATCACTGATAACACTATCGGTAAAAGCTTTTAAAGTGTCGCCTATGGCCAATTTTGGGTATGGTAGTTTTCTGCGATTTCGCGGTTGCGCGCAATTTTAAAGGTTGACATGTTTGGTGTCTATTTATCCGACGTGACCCCGTCTTTTATATTTTACCAAAAAACTGGGTAATAATAAATGTTTCCTAACATAATGTAAAAACAAAAATCTTTTTTTTTCCAAAATTTTCTTTAATTTTTCCTAATTATAGTAAAAAATTAAAACCCCAGTGGTGACTAAATACCACCAAAATAAAGCTCTATCTGTCCCCAAAAAATGGTATAAAATTCATTTCAGTACAGCGTTGTATGACGGAATAAACTTCAGTCAAAGTACTGCAGCGCTGAATACTGAGAAATGGCCTGGCCAGGAAGGGGGTCTAAACACCTGGTCTTGAAGTGGTTAACTGACCCCAGACCTTTCACCAATTGAAAATATCTGGAGGTCTGGAACATCTTGAAACTAAAAATGCAACAAAGAAGACCCAGGACTGATGAGCAGTTAGAATCCTATATCAGGCAAGAATGGGACAACATTCCTCTCCCAAAACTCCAGCAACTGGTCTCCTCAGTAGTGATGAGCTCGGGCGTGTTCACAAGCACCTTGTGCCGAGCCCGCCAGGAAGCCGTCAGCGCGCAGCGCCAATCACAGGCACTGAGACATTTTCCGATCTCTGCAGCTGCGGACCGGGAACACGTCTCAGTGCCTGTGATTGGCGCTGCGCACTGACGGCTTCCTGGCGGGCTCGGCACGAGGCGCTTGCGAACACGCCCGAGCTCATCACTTCTCCTCAGTTCCCAAATATTTACAGAGCGTTGTTAAAAGAAGAGGGGATGCTACACCATAGTAAACATGGCCCTGTCCCAACTTTTGTGAGATGTGTTGCTGCCATCAATTTATAGAACTTTTAGGAATTGGGGTTGTAAATGTAAATTGCTTTTGACATTTAAAAACAAATAAAGTTTTTATGGATTTATACTTTTGGAATCTCTTACTTTTCTATGCAATTGAGCATTAAATCAATATGAGTTGCCTGAGCGGATTGAGAAGTGGTCTGCTACCTAAAGAGGAGGATAACATTGGCCAGAGGTGGTGTTGGGTATAGATTACCTGCAACTTTAGAGCACATTTTTTTACCATTCTTTTAATTATAGGGGCAAAACAAACTCTGGTGAAGGAGTCTTTTCAAAAAGTAACATAACAAAAAGTTCCCAATTCATGGCCATCAGTGGAATCTGTAAACTCCCTCCTTTATTAAATACATAACAAACCACAATTGAATATGAATAAATACATCCAACAAATATTCCCTCTAAAGTGCAACATGGCAACCTACAAGCTGAACCATAAAAAAAAACATAAAAATGGTGCCGGATGGGTCTCAAAGTGTGTAAAATCTCCAAACATGGTAACATACACATCTTCTATGGCTGAATCCCTTGTAATCACAGTATTGTAATGCTGATGGTGGAAGTGCAGTCTAAAGAGGACCTTGGCTGAAAAACAGAATGAACAGGTTCAATGGTGTATCCAAATATGTGAAGATGGACCATATATCACTCCGCTGTATTGGAATGTGGAGGATAACCTCAAAGGTGGTACTGAGTATCAGGCTGCAACCACAGTGATGTATAAACACATGAATGTTCGTATTCACCAAAGCCTTATTTCTTTCTGCCCATGCCGCTGATGTGTCCTGAGGGGTTAAAATCATAAACCACCCTGCTGCACAACTCTGCATGTGTGCACACTGATCTCTTGGAAAAATGCTACATATAAATCCATGCAGTAACGCATTCTAATTTCATGCAGCCATTGGTGTCAGTGACTTGTATGCATATGAGCATGAACTAGCCCAATCCCATATATTCCTAGTGCAGGATGTCCATAGGATGTAGTAAATGAAAGATCTCACCCAGTATCTTCCTGTGCAACACTCCAAGTTCTCTCAGACATTGAGATCAACTGCTGGCTAATGAATCAAATATCCACCATTCATATGGCTATAGGAAATGAATAAATGGAGTAGGGAAACAGCCAGCGGGACCAAAAATGGTACAAATAACCATGCTATCTTGCTAACACATTTTGTAGTTTTAACTTCATCAGAGCAAGCATGTTATGTTGTTGAATTATGTTAAATGCTGATGCATTGAATTTAAAATTCCACTCAAATGCCTAGGGGCAAAATAGAGAGCAAAAGCACCTAGTTCCTTTCCCTACCACCTATTAAAACGTTTTTATTTTTCTTACTTGAGTTTGCTGATGATCATTTTTCTACTGAAAATATCAGTAAGAAAAAGAACACTGACATACAATTGTGTTCATTGATGCAGAATTAGCAGTTCACCACAGATTTGACAGCACCTGCTGAGACTTGTGGTCCCTTAACAGCTGGAGAATCTGCTGCAGGGCTTCCATGTCCTATGACAAGTAAATAATTAAGCTATTAAAAAAAACAGGATTGTAAAACAAAGAAATGTAGAACATATGCTGTGCATTCATTGTGTAGAACATTTGATATAGTGCCAGCACACTCCAGAAATTAATGGAAACAAATGTATTGGGAAGGAAATGTGTTGAGTACAGAAGGTTAAATAAATGAACCTTTTTTGACGGAACGAGGAGAGTTCGTAATGTGAATACTTGTATAATGTATTTTAAGCTGACACCACTCTTTTATGTTTAACTCATTTGAATGAAGAACAAAGTATAACCTACTTTTTATTCTTTCCTATAGAAGGCATTTGTTGACCTAAAGTACATTCAAGCTGGATTAAAAAAATATACATTGCAGTTACCATAGTTTTGCCATAAAGCAGGTTAACACATTGATATAAATGAAATGGGAAGGGGGGAGTGCCACCCCAATGTACATATACAGTGAGTAAAAAAGCACCTTTGCTACAATATACGTGAGTCACAGATGGGATTACTCTGTCTCTGTGCTTTACTTTGTCAAATAGTGTGTTTTTTAAAGGTGTTTGACAGCCCATTAACACAAGACACCGTTAATGCTTGCGTATATGTAAATGGACCCTTATACTGCTCATCAGTCACTAATTTTCTGTTTTTGAAGTCAAACCATCATAAACGTGAACAACTTAAACCGGCTACGGCCAAAAGTTTTAAGAATGACACAAATATTAATTTTCACAAAGTCTGCTGCATCAGTGTTTTAAGATCATCTTGTCAGATGTTGCTATGGTATACTGAAGTATAATTACAAGCATTTCATTAATGTCAAAGGCTTTTATTGATAATTACATTAAGTTTATGCAAAGAGTCAACATTTGCAGTGTTGACACTTCTTATTCAAAACCTCTGCAATTCGCCCTGGCATGCTGTCAATCAACTTCTGGGCCACATCCTGACTGATGGCAGCCCATTCTTGCATAATCAATGCTTGGAGTTTGTCAGAATTTGGGGGGGGGGTTTGTTCACCCGCCTCTTGAGGATTGACCACAAGTTCTCAATGGGATTTAGGTCTGGGGAGTTTCCTGGCCTTGGACCCAAAATGTTGATGTTTTGTTCCCCAAGCCACTTAGTTACCACTTTTGCATTATGGCAAGGTGCTCCATCATGCTGGAAAAGGCATTGTTCGTCATTAAACTGTTCTTGAATGGTTGGGAGAAGTTGTTCTTGTAGGATGTTTTTGTACCATTCTTTATTCATGGCTGTGCTCTTAGGCAAAATCATGAGTGAGCAATCCCACACATGAAGGGTCTCAGGATGCTTTACTGTTGGCATGACACAGGACAGATGGTAGCGCTCACCTTTTTCTTCTTCGGACAAGGTATTTTCCAGATGCCCCAATCGGAAAGGGGATTCATCAGAGAAAATTACTTTACCCCAGACCCCAGCAGTCCAATCCCTGTACCTTTTGCAAAATATTAGTCTGTCCCTGATGTTTTTCTTGGAGAGAAGTGGTTTCTTTGCTGCCCTTCTTGACACCCTCCCTATTGAATCTGCCACTGGCCCTGCCGGCGGCGCCCAGGGAACATGCCCCCCCTAGCTTCAGCACTGCCCCCAACCACCCTCGTGCCTTCCCTTTCCCCACACTGAGCCAATAGTACCTCACTTATCCCCACTTTTTCTATGTCCCACAGCCTGCTCAGTCCGGGTACTGATGAGATGCCCCGCCTCCTGCAGAGCCCGCACTGTACTGAGAGCCACACATTCCTCAAGCAGCGCAGCCGCTGCTTGAGTCAGTGAGAGGCAGCCCCGGAGCCTCCGTGCAGCTTCAATGATGGCCCACCCTGCACGGCATCAGAGGGGCCCGGGGACCACCAAAATTTTCTCACGGACGACCGGTTGGCGACTGCTGTGCTAGAATATCCAAATTCAGTGGAGCCCGTTTGCATAATTTACAAGAAGTAAAACTAACAGTTGCCCACACCAGCCAATTAGATTACAGATGTCATAATGTTTGTGCCAAGGCTAATACATCAAATGACTGGCAGCCATTAGCGATACAGACACCTTTTATGTCCCCATTGTACTCGGCACATTACAGGCTGCTTGACAACATAAACTCTTGTACTTTCTACTCCAGATGTCAGTGGAAACAGCTTAATTACTAGAACAACTTTCCAAGTCTCTCAGTCTCTAACCTTGACTTTGGCAGTTTAATCTCCAGCAGAAGTTGAAGAAGAAAGTACATATCAAGACGCTACCGTCTTCTTTGGCTAGAAATGAGAACCAACACATTCAGACTTTGCTATTAAATACGGGATATTTTCCAGGATAAACAGGCAGGCACATAATTAACACAAACTCAGGATATCTAAGAACATCATGTTATCCAGGGATATAAGTGAATTAAATTGTTCCTGTTTTATTGAGATTTTTTATTTGCTCCCTCACTTGTCAACAAATTGGAGGATTTGGGGGTTAGGCTCATCTTGTAGGCAGTGACGTGCAGCTGAATCCCAATATATAAATAAGTGTTCTTCATTGCTCCAGACAATAGACTCTGGATAAAAATAATCTGCTTCTCTGCGGTGCGATGTGCAGGTGGTTGATTAGGAGTGGATGCTGAAAATAGCAGTAAACTATATGTCCTTAGAGAATTTCACAAATGATAGCTAGTGAACACTTGAACTACAGTCATTATTCTTGTATTCTCCTTATCCTCAAAGTCTGCAGCAAAGTAATCCACGCTTAATGTGTATTTCCACTTTTGCAGTCAAATCAGAATAACACCTATTTTATATTCGTTACATGTTTTTCATTCACATAGCATAACTTTAAAAAAAATTAAATTGCGACTTGCACAAAACATGCTCAATTCTGAAAGAACAGTTGTTCTTTGTACTGAATTTCCCTTTGGATTGCAAGGGCGTTGGGGGATATTAATATTAATATAATTAACCCTGACTGTACAGTGCTGGCAGATCTCATTGGTTGTAAACTATTGTTTTTAAATGTCTGCCCTAAAAAACGGCTCAGTCGAGGTGAAAGCTGAAGCTGGTCGACAGCCTGCTACAGACAGCTAGGCGGAGCCAGCCATCATCACACCGCTGGCTCCGGCCACTTGCAGAGACACATCAGCGCCCCCTGGTTACCAGCTAACCAGGGACACTGATTTCACGTTACTCTCCTGAAAAAAAAACAAGCTTAATGTCACTCATTTGCCTTGTGAGTAACCAAAATTTCTGTCACAGAAGCCCTGCGCCCTATCGTCCGGAGCGTCTTATAGACCGCAAAATACGGTAAACGTTTTCGAAATGAATAAAATAGTTTAATGTAAATAACTTTTGGTATGTTTTATGAAAGGACCCAAAATCTTCAGAATATGTTGGTATAGAGAGAGTCTTGTAGTATAGGAAGTTAAGTTTGGGGGAAATTGGTTAACATCTGAGTTGTTTTTTGTACGTTAAGCCACATTAAGCTCCCCAAAAAACAAGCTTAATGTCACTCATTTGACTTGTGGGTAACCAAAATCCATGAAACATCCAGGATAGGTTTGGGAAGCTGGGAACTTGGGTTGTGCAAAGTTTCAAGGCATTTGATTGGGGATTAGATACTTTTGTACACATTAAGCTCTTTTTACATTAAGCTGTTCACATTAAATGTTTTAGGATTGTAATAAAATAGTTTAATGTGAATAACTTTTGGTATGTTTTATCAAAGGACTCA